TTACAAAGGACCATGTTGATGTTAGATACGCTGTCACAAAACCGCACAATAAGCATTATTGCCAGCTAGCTGTACATTTGTGTGGACGAGACAGTTACACCTCGACTATTCATTTATTTGAGCACACTCATTTAGCTTCATTTAGCGCGAACCGCTTCCTCGAAATCTTTCTCCGCTGTATATAAAGCGATGTAATAGATTCCCTCTCCCCTTTGCAAGGTTTGAATTCGCAGAACAGATGGGAAATGTAGATTTAAATTCGCATTTGTGAATATTCGTTCTCAACATCAGTCAGACTGTACGTATTTCATATTAACTCGTCGAGTACCGTCATTATAGACACAATTATGGAACAATAGGTTGCGGTCACCGGTGTCCGCTTGGTGTTTGACAGTTTAAATGAGCTGTTGATCATGATAATCTATAGACTTCTTTTTTTTTAAGGGGAGAAAATCATCGAATGACTTCTCACGGCTGGGTGAGGAGGGAGGTAGTGTCAGACTCTTACTGACTAAAAACTACCCCGTTCGTTCTCCTGCACGTCGAGCCGGAGCCCCGGTAACTCGTTAGGTTCTCCGCGACATGATGTATAGACTAAGAAATCTATTGGCTATGAAAATCTGTTGGGAACGTATTTGTTTAATGCCATGTCCAACAAAACTATACATAAATAGTTTGACTGTAGGATCTTTTACATTTGTTTTAAATTAGTATTTATTGTGATAATGGTGAAAATTAATATTTAAATTCTTATTAGGTATTACGTGAAACTTTGTTTAAATATATGCGAATGCTAATAAAATATATGTATACTACTTAACTATGTAATAGTGTTGATAAATGTAGTTCTTATTCAATCGATTATTATACACATAATAATACATAGATAGATTAAATTATTATGTACGTAGATTTATTAGGTCTAAAGGATTTCCAAATATTCCTATGAGCATGAGGTAATCTACAACTTTATCCGCGTATGAAGTCGTAGCCAAAAGCTAGGGGTATATCTGCAATTTTCTCCTACGTATACGTAATATCTTGTTAAAATGAGACAGGCATGGTAGTGCTGATAACTAGACTTTTACGAGTTCTTTACAACCCTCTCATGAGTAGTGGAGTAAACTACGTAATCTCAACATCTCTAGTAAGAGAGAAATGAAATTGTACCAAAACAATGAAGTAGCAACGTCACGAATTGACCGAATGAAATGAATGGATTCGAAAGATTCTTGGAATGATTGGCACTCGATTAACAGTTGTTTCTGAGTGACGTCTCTACTTTCCCTCGAGGCAAGTTTGGTACTTATGTTCTGTTGCAAACAGATTAGAATCAAAGTTACATTAGTTCAATCTCTCTAAGATTTTAGTTTTAGCTTGAATACTTTAATGTTTAATTAAATCAACGTTTTGTTGTAGTCATGAGATCTTGGCTGCGATCGAAATTTCCAATAATTAAAGTTTTATTTTTGATTGATAGTTTTGTCAATGATTGAGGTTTTGGTATATTTATTCGAGTGTGTCTATAGTTTCATCCTTTATGATATAATTGTAGGAGAGCCATGCTTCGGCACGAACCCATCTCCTCCATTTCTTAATCTCTCCAATCCATGAATCCTCAAACTCCTAATCCCCAAAAGGCCGGTAATGCAATTTTAACGTCTCTGGCGTTCCAAGTGTCTATGGGCGACGCCGATTGCTTACAATAAAAAAATATGGTAATTTTATAATCTATATCTGACTACACTTCTATGTAGTGAAGTATCGCATGAAGAGTTTATGACTGCATGGTTGGTGCGGTGGCTGGGCAACCGGCTGCCGTGCAACGTGTCGCGGGTTCGATTCCCGCACGGAACAACACTTTGTGTGATCCACAAATTGTAGTTTCGGGTCTGGTTGTCATGTGTATGTGAACTTGTATGTTTGTAAACGCACCCACGACACAGGAGAAAATCCTAATGTGGGACTATGTTTATAAAAAAACAAAGTTTATACATGCTGTTTTTATTTGAAAACATTATTTAGGTAAATGCAACTAATATGTGTTCACATAAAATTTCAACTATCCAGGTTTATGTTTGCATAAAATCATGTGCAGAGCAAATTATTCACGATCCCGTGGTTTCCATTGAATTGAAAATTTAATTAAATCTAGTGTGTATTTGAACAGATGGTGACCACTCAATATTGCAGAGCAAAATAAAATAAAATAACACTGCAAATGTTTTGTTTTTATTGCGGTACAATGTAAATGTATCGCTGTGCTGAAAGCTGAAATAACGCAACTTGTTAATGTGTGAAAAATACAACATTATGGCCACTATGTATTTTTGTGTACTGTATTCGAATACATTTTAAACAGAAAATTGATCCTATAACTCTAATAATACCTTTTTAGATATTATTAAAGTGAATTATTATATTTTTGGGTTACTCGCGTAACTGTTTTACGAGAGATTTCGACTAATTACAAGCCATGCTAGGAGCTCATATTCATGAGCAGCATTCCGCAGTCCGCGACACGGCGACTGTCGCGCTTCTACTAGCTCAGTAGCAAAAGTAGCGCAGCGGCCGAAAACATAATAATTAATTTAGTATGTCTCACGAATCTTATAATAAAAAAATATTAAACTGCTTGCAAAGCAGCTATATTATGCAAGATACCATATAACGGTACAGTTGCAGAAAAGTACTAATATTACTTACTACTAATTCTATATTGAATCTGAGAATAAGCATCAAATATAGGCACAGCGCACTTTAAGCAGTGCAACTTGTAAACAACACAGAACAAATTAATATACAATCTACAAAGAAAACTACGAAATGACACTAACTATACCTACATATAATATAATCAATCTTTCAACCCCATATCTGATGCACTCACAATAAGGAAATCCAAGCTATATTAAGTTTGAATAAAACACCAAGTTTCAGTAGTAGCTGCGAGTAGTTAGGCAGAATAACTTTATTATTCTCAACTCAATCACTGTTCCCACAAACTTCTCTATCAAATGTTAATAAAGTAATTTGTTTCGTCTAATAGCCGAAGGCGCAATTACAGAGAAAATACCTTCAGGAGTAATTCCCGGATTGGGAAAAATTCTAAGTATGTAATAGCATAGAGGCTGAAATTATACCCAATGTATAACAATAGTCTGCAATAAGTTCACCTCACCCTCAATTTTTTGCGACTCTTAAAATATTATAAGTATAGTAAAAAGTTTGTGTTTAATTGAAGACTTTCTGTGCACGTCTGCCTACCCCTTCCTAGATAAAATGCATGATGTTGTGGTTATGTTATTTATCTTCAAAACACGAGTGACATAAGTTAATCATTAAATTAAAACAGCCCTAACAACAGCGCTCTGAATTAATTTATTCCACTTGTACGTTCCTGACAATACAATTAAAATACACATCTGCCTATCCTGTCCTGTAATTGGTTTCCATTGTTCGCATAGATTTTCAGTTCGATTCGGTATTGTTTTATGGAACCGAATAAAGTATTTTCAACCCTTAAAAGATTAATTAAGGGTTTTTACAAAAAGCTCTATTGTGAAACCTATTCATAGTGCTTAAGGTCTATATTGCCATTTGCGACAGACTGTAGTTAGTAGTTAGACACACTCTGTCCCTAATGACTTAGATTGTCGCCTGATATAGACACCAAGGCTATTCTTCTAGGCATGGAAACATCCTGAACTTAATGATTAGTTTTGTGACTTATTTCGTAATACAAAATCCTCCATACCAATTACCGGTCGACCCGGAGATCTGGAATTACGTAACTACTAGACCATCATAACAAAATGAACACGACATGTACCGATAAAAATGTCAATTTACTAATATAGATAGACAGTGTAATATTTCGGCTATGATTAATAACGCTTCGGAACAAATGATGAATCATTGAGTGCGGAGGAAAATTTGTTTGCTCTATTACCTTCCAGATGAGATACAAGATGAATGAAGCCAGTCAAGACGCCATCACTTGAGAAACTATGCCTCTTTGATAAATTGTATTTGAATCAAACAGTGGCCGTAACGAAAAGATATTATTCACATTTTGGTCACGTACAGCGAAGATTCAAGAGCTTTGAGGATATTTACGACTCGCGAAGGGCTGGCAATGGCAACGACCGAAAAAATATCTAACAGCTTGCAGAATATTCTCCATAATCAATTGAATGGGAAAAAAATAAGAAAACTTTTACAAAAGCCATTGTGCAGCTATCAACCTGGTGATAAATAAAAGAAAACTCATAAAACATCCAATAAACATTCGTTGTCTGTTTAATATTAATAAATACGTTTTTAGATGTATTTCAGAATACATTTATGCATGATTGTTGAGGATGAACGGACAGTAATGATCGGATGTGAGGCGAATGAAAACATCGCGCCTGCGCCTTGTACCCAGGCCCCTCTGATTCATACTACTACTATACCTACATAGATAGAATTTCCCGGCATTTCTTACAACTGTTCGAAGAGTTCTTATCATAGGATTAAAACAGAACTCAATAGAAGAGATTATCCCCTACTTCTTTCGGATTAGAACTGTCATTAGCTGATTACAGCTGCACTTATGGTATCACAAGTATTTCCTATATATTTTGTGTTAATATACATAATCACGAGGAAATGATATTACTTTCGCACGTATAAGTCGATTTGCGAGGTCAGTGCATATTATATGAATATGTTATATCCGAAAATGTATTAAAATTTTGGTGCCAGCGTTTTATATGAAACTTGTAAGGTATGCAGCGACCTAGTTGTGAGCATGGCGCGGCGCGGGCGGCGACCTGCCACCTGCTTTCTTTACAACTCTTATCTCACATTATGTAACAACTCAACTGAGGAGGCTGCTAACTGGTAAAATACCGCAACGATTATACATCGGGTAAGCCTACCATTTAGGTTGATAGAACAGTTTTGTTTCATGCGGTTTTATTTAAACCTTTCCCTATTAATCAAATATGACTTACTTTTCGAAGCCCACAGCTTTCCTTCGTTGAGAGCCGACAAGTAGACTTTGAGGTCACTCTCGCACTTCTCGGGCAGGGTCAGGTTGCTGTTGGTGAGATACTCAGTCCAGCTGTGGTGGTCCAGCAAGGACTTCATCCATGCCATGCGGGATCCTCCCAGCTCACTCGTAGAGTTCACATTAGCACCCACCACACTCACTAACACTAAGATCATTGCGACGAACATCGTTCTAACTTCGATAGTTTTGACGCACATTATGAACCACTTGATCCTCTTACGTATAACACTCCTAGTACTCCACTTTTACCATGCTGCAATGTACCTGCAACAAAAAAAAAAACATTAACTTTGCATCAAATAAGAATTGAAAGTCTTTTCATATCGCATAATCCCGTGGCGCAGTTAAACACATTTAATATTATATATTTTAATTAAAAACTGAGTCGGTTGAGAAATTCTATTCGATATTTTTACTTTAGTTTCAATTGAATTAATTATCAGGTTCGGTTTTCAGTTTGTAAAAGAGTTCTTTTATAATGTGAATGAAAAAGAGAACCTTTCATTTGACGTTATCGACGGCTTGATCAAACATCTTCATAATTAGATATTCCCAAACCATTAATTAGGCATCTAAGCCAGTACTCGTTTACTCACTCGAAGCGCTTAAAAAGAAAACCCAGCCCTTTAACAAAATTATCCTGAATCACGAACTCAAAGAACGAAAATCTATAAGTAAAAAGAAAATGTGCTAAAATATTTTCTCCCATCTTGTGAAGAGTTCGTTGATAATGTCGGTAATGGATGTAACACCAAAAGATGTTTGCTCCTTGCCTGCGAGCTCTCAAAGAACGCTGTGAATAGCACAAAGTAAACTCGAGTGTCGCCGATAAGAAATATGTGTCCGCCATTCGAGCGGTTATGTTGATACTCCACCGATGCCTTTCACGATACCTAACACAACCTAATTCGACAACAAACAGACCCTTTTTATTATTGGACAAATACGAAGGCTCCCATAATTTTGTTTTCGGACCAAATTAAAATTTTGTCAACATTTTATAGGAAATGAATGTAACCCGGGCCGACATTTCCTGAATATTTAATATCGGTTGTCGTTGTTATTAAAATTATAGGGATCAAAATTTGAAGGAACATTAAAAGAGGTCGTTAGCATTTGTTTTTACAAAATAAACTTGATTTTACGCTAGGTGACTCGTATTACAATTACTGTACAAGACAAGTTAAGTAGAATTTGTGCAGCTAGCTATGTATAAGCAGGTCGGTCCCTTTGTCAGTTCTCCTTGGTTCTGGGAAATACGTCCAAAGTTAATATATATACCCCACAAAACAACCCTACGTACAAATGTAAGGGGTTCCGTCGCAACTCGACATGGCGCACCAAGCTACAGCGTGTGCCCTAATTACATGTAATATATGATACCTCATATTCCTTTAATGGCAAGGGATTAGTGGCAATTAGCGATGGAGACCGTCTCAACAAAATTAATTCGAGAAACAAGAATAAACGTTTCGTGGCAGAGATACAAACTGACACACATATAGTTTATTTTTATAATAACTATCGTGAGAAATACTTCGCGACGTCGCCGCGACCGCGCACGCTGCTCATGAGGAAGAACCCCTCTGTGGTTCGAAACTAGTAGAGCTTATCTCAGTATATTCACGTGAGTGACCCATGATTTTAGTTAACACATATACCTACTTTATTACAATATTTTCATGACAGGGTTGTCTTTTGCAAAAATGTCGTAATAAACCCAAGGGTCGGCCTAACAAAGGAGGACAATGGCTTTTGAACAATCACAGTGCGTTGATTAACAACACAAAAGCGAGCCAAACCGAAGGCAATTAGAGTCTATTGAAGATGTTTTTTGCATAAGCGCGGAGCCTGCTCGGGAATACGTAATTGTGATTTGAGTGGTGTACGGTACGTGCATGCGATATTGAGTGGACAAACAAACAGTATGGTTTGTTGTTACTATTAGAGGTGTTATGAGTTATTTGACCCCTCTTAATGAATTGTTTTGTTTACTTTTATAACGACTGTGTTCCATAGATAGGACAGTTAATTGTTAACAATTGTGGGAGAGCCATGCTTCGGCACGAATGGGCCGGCTCGACCGGAGTTATACCACGGCCTCACAGAAAACCGACGTGAAGCAACGCTTGTGTTGTGGTTACCTGTTACCGGAGGCCCAATTACCCTTCCCTTCCCCAATCTCCGCAATTCCTGTATCCCCAACGATCCTTAAACTCCAAGTCCCCAAAAGGTCGGTGACGCATTTGTAACGCCTCTGGTGTTCCAGGTGTTCATGGGCGACGCTGATTGCTTACCATCAGGTGATCCGTCTGCTCGTTTACCGGCTTATGCCATAAAAAACTATTGTATGCATTTAATTTATTATATCGAGGTCAGGGAAAGAGATGATATTTGATGGAATTTAGAAATTGAGTTGTTTTACCATGTTTTATGACTACCACCGTAACTTTTGACTTATGACTTGAACCAACTAATTGCAAACATTTAACAAATTGAATCAAGCACTTTTTCAACTTCTATAACATAACACAACATTATGCCTTTTATCCCAGAAGGGGTAGACAAAGGTGCACATTACGGCACTTAATACCAATATACAATCTAACACCCACATTTCAGTATTTATGTTATAAGTCCCATGTAATAATGTAAGCCTATTGCCATATACCGGGCACAATTGCATACTCCGTGATACTAATGAGAATTTATTAAAAAACACAGTTATACTTTGCTCGATTATGACTGCCTCGTGGCCGAGTGGTCGCAAGTGCGACTGGCCGGGCAAGGGGTCTCGAGTTCGATTCCTGGGTCGGGCAAAGTATTACTGGGTTTTTAAAAATCTCAGTAGTAGCACGGAATCTGGAAATGTGCCCGGTATATGGCAATAGGCTCACCCCCTATTACATGGGACTCATAACATAAATAGTGAAAAGTGGGTGTTACATTCTACATTATGTGTCGAAATGTGCACCTCTGCCTACGCATCCGGGGATAAAAAGGCGTGATGTTATGTTATGTTACTTTGCTCGACCCGGGAATCCAACCCAGATTCTCCGTGCCCGGCAGTCGCATTTGCGTACATTTGGCCAACGAGGTAATCAGGCAGTTATCTGACTTATTTAGTACTAACCTGCACTGTAAAATGAACAAAGCACTAGAATACATTGTTGTATTATGCAGGTGCTTCAACTTTATAGACCTATCAACCAGTTATTACTATGGGCATTTAATCTAGCATTTAATTTGAGTTACAAATTTGCATTCTCTGTGTTACTTCGTTCAGAACTGCCATTTGTGCAGCTAACTTATTTTAGCCATCGTAATGAACCTGTTTTCAAACTTATAGTACATTCGTATTAAGAATGTAGTAATCATCATTGTCCGTCAGCCTAGCCCCGTTCCCTAAACTGCTGATAAACTTTTAAGTGTATTTTTATAAAGGACAGTGTTAAAAATGGCGTATTAATCAACACGCATGAAATATTTATCATAATTCTTAGTTCTTTTAATAACATATGTACCTACATTACAAATATTTCTATAGCACGGACACTTTTTAATTTCGAGAGCATTTTAAAAAGTATTCACTTCCGTCCTCAGCTTCTGTAACAATACTCGATGACAGTTCTATTACTTTTTGGTCCAATTTGAGGTTTTTCACAGGCAAAGGACAATAGGTCATACAGCCAAGTATTTGTAACAGCACTCTTAATGAGAGTGTGACACAGACAAGGATCAATATTTTCAACACTTGATATAAGATGATAATTTTTAGTTACAAACAGTCCGCTATGATGGCGTAGAAAACCATAGCCGATCTGCGGTTGTGTACTGAATTCTTTTACATTTTTTTACTTTTCTGATTTTATCTAACCACTTGGGGGTGAACAGAGGACTGTGACTCGTGGAATATTGTCCTCTGGCTTAGTTTTACTGATACGGACCTTCTTCGAACAACGACCTGACTTATTATAAACGGACTTGCGTAATAAATATGGTTATTGAAGGAAGTTATTGACGTAATTATAAGCCCAAAATCCGAAAGTGTTTTGATTTTTCAGAATTATCAAAAGTGACAGTTATTTTAATTTAGGTTCAATCGAATATACACATTATCTAAAACCGAAAAAGTAAATACAACTCTCTGTTGGTTCTTATTTAAACTATGTATGGACGACCAGCAATGTCCTTTACTAGTAGATGCCAGCGACTTCGACCGCGTGGAATAGTGACTTTGGAATTGGATAGTACTTCACAGCTCCTCTCCCGTAGGTGATAGCGTGATAATGTGTAACCTATGTGTTGACCTAGCCTGTTTGTAATATTTAAGCAAAATTTGAAATTAATCTATCAGTACTTTTTGAGTTTAGCCCGGACTTATATACAGACAAACAGATAAACAGATTGAAAAACTAAAAACGTTTTTGGTTTCGATTGTAGATTACGCCACAAGTATCTTTTAAAAAAATATTCAATTTACAGTTTTGACCTTTCTACGATTTTATTATATGTATATAGATATATAGATTATGCTTAATCTTTTACAATATCATCATCATCAACAGCCTATAAATAATGCCCACTGCAGAGCATAGCCTCTTCTCACACGGAGAAGGTTTTTTGAGCATTAATCACCACACTTGCTCAATGCGGGTTTGCGATTACAAACTTATAATTAGAAATTATAAGCCCAGGTTTCTTTACGATGTTTTCCTTCACCGTTTTTCAGTGGTTTTTAATTATCTTAGAAAGTACATATAACTCGGAAAAAGTCACATGGGTACTTGCCGTTGGTAGGTTTCGAACCTGTACCCTCATGCATGACAAGCGGGCGTCCTAAACCTCCGGGCCACCACGACATTACTATTTACTTTTACAATATACTTTGTTCGAATTTCTCACTACTGTGAATACACCTCTTACAGTTGTACTGATGACTCACTGCATTCGTAACGCTAACAAACTATTGTCATGGTCTTGGATATGATCGGGGAGGATTTAGCCAGTAAGAGTCACACTTCTTCGTCTTCCGCAGGAGACTTCATGAAGACCTTCCACCTTGAAACCAACTATATACTATCACTTGGTATTGGTATATTATGTACAAATCCATAAATGTCTTCAGACTTAATATTATCTATTATCGTGAATGTATGTATGTTGATCGTTTTTGGACTATTACCAAATTTGATATGAACGATGTGTTCTATTCGACCGCATTTACAGAACGTTACTCTTTTTTTTTATTTGCCAGATTGTTA